TCAGAAGCAGACAGAGAAGGTGTATTGATAGTGTTAGATAACAAGATCTGGGTGGAGCTCAGAAGTCCAGGGAGGAGTATAAGATCAAACTAGGTCAGCTATGTACGTAGGCAGGGTAGTATCACACTCATACTTAAGAGTCAAGGTCTAGCTTAACTTAAACGAGCAACAGTCAAGAATGGCCATTTCTTACATTTCTTTACACAGTTTTTCCTTGCAAAGTTTTCTTGACACGGCCCATTGTGGAGACCATATGGAACAGTTGTGCCTTCTCACTGCTAGCAAGACAAAAGCCTTGTCTGGAACTGTCCAGAGTGGCTTCATTTGAAGACAGAGATTTTGCCTGTTTAGATTTGCAGCTCAGAAATGGGAATCGTCATCCAATCAATAAAATGGCCAGTAGTTTATTTCAAAAGGAGATAGTCACCTTAGCCTATAGCACCTAGGAGTGGTTTCAGTCTCCGTGCAAAAGATTAAACAGGCACAGAACATGCACTGGAAACAAGAATAATATTTACAAACCACTGAGAGAACACTTCCATCTCTCCAGACGTTCGGTCTTTTACAGTGGCTATCTTTCAACATGAGCATTTCAAAGACAGATTCCAAAGGGAAACAGTATCACAAATCTTTCGTAAGCATTGTTTGTGTGACTGTTTAAGATGGAGAGCGACGCTGCAACTCTCGTCCCTGGCTCACTGGCATTCTGTGGCTACTGTCTCAAACACGCCATGCCATTAGGTGCTGGAAAACACAAGGCCACTGTAGGTTGTAAATTCCAAGCTGTCCGATTTTCATATAGATTTTTGAAAGATTGTATTGTTCTATGCTTGTGCAAATGAGCATTCCCCTGAAGAGTGCTTCCATCATTTCATCACATTTGGGGCTAAAATGTAGATTGTTAATGCATATTTTTAATGGCCTCCTCCACTTCTCTGCTGTCTTGTCCCAGTTTTCTGACATGACCATAAGTCATAACGTACGTAACGTCACAGAACCTGGGTGCTACAGCACAATTGTCCCCTTACAGGCACTTGACACACTTATGTTGCAGGGTTGCAAACAAGACATGCAGTATTAACTCTAAACTGCTCCTTGCCTGAGGACTATATCTGCACCAGCGGGGCAGCATGTGACTGAAATGTATTGGAAAACACATTTACATTGATGCAATCAATGTAAAAGAGGTCAGGAGTTATTTCCAGAGCCTTTATTTTATCAGCAAAGGGATTCTGCTTTTGGTCCTATCCTGTCTTCAGAGATGTTATTGGGCCTGTCCCCTGGCTGTGAGTCTCCATAAGAACAACTTACCATAAGTCAGACATGAGCTATTTGTAGCCCTCCAAATACTGCTGGATTGCATGTCCCATCATCCACCATTCACTTACTATGGTAGCAAGCCCTGATAGGAGGTGTAGCCGCATGGTGTCTGAAAGGTCTACTCTTCCTGCAGATGTTCCAAAATGGTGTCCTTCGTTTGTAGTACATTGGGTTGCTACTCATCAAAAAGGGGGAGGGGAGGTACCATCTAGCAGTAGCAATTGCTGGTGCAATGTCTCTGCCAATCCATTGCTCGACTCCAGCCTTGCAGACTTGCTATATTGAGTTTGATGGCCTTCCCAGCAAAAATAACACTTGAGGCTATGGGCTGCTGTCCACTATTCTCCCCATACCAGTTTGTCTCTCGTGTACCTCTGTTTGGCTGCTGGCTGTTTCCTAGTCTTTGTTCTGTTCTTGGTGCTTGTTTCGTTCCCGAACATGAGCAAACAGGTCAAGTCACTGCAGCATAAAGCTTTATGCTACATCCAGCTTGCAATCCCCACACAGCACAGCCTTTTACATCTGTTCTGCTCTACCATGTTTGACAGGCAATGAAAGCAGTGCCCTACCATTCTGATATTTGGCATGTCCACAGGGTGAGCCCTACCATTAGATGGAGCAAGGCAGCTGCCTCAAACAGCAGTTTGTGAAGAGGAGCCAGTTCACCCCTTCCCCTTCCTGTAAGGGCCCTTGCCAGCAGCTCTGGGCAACTTTCCAGAGGCAGGATGTTCCTCCTTGCTATTTTCTTCAGTGGCTTGTAGGCATAGGAGGAGGAAAGACACATCCGGTCTTGCAGTCTGTTCAGCTAGGTAACCAAAAGGTTTTGGCCTCATTTGGCTGGGCAGTTTTTGAATGGATCCCCTTTGGCAAAGAGAAGACCAGGAACTGAATTTGGAAGATTCCCTTGGTATGAGATCAACCATGTTTCTCCATCCCTTTGGGGTTAGAACCTGCCCTTTCATTATCCTCCTTCTCTCCATCAGTCTGCCTTTCTGCCATATAACTATATTTGTGGTTACAGTTGAGTGGTGTGATCTGATTTTAAAAAGATAATTCAGGCTTTCTAGTGAGCTGAATGACACAAGCAAAACCTACAAATGCTTTAATCTTAATTATGAGCCATCAAGTCAATGCTGACGTATGGCGACACTTTCCAGTGTTTTCTAGGTATGCAGTATTCAGAAACGGTTAATCAGCCCCTTCTTCTAGAGGTGCCCTGCAACTGTGCTGCTTGCCCAGGACCACAGAAGCTGGCTCTTCTCCCAGTAGGCACCGTGAGGTATCAAAATCTTGACCTCTGGCTCCACAACCAGGTACCCAGCCCGCTGGGATACTCAGTCAGTACAGATGCTTTAAAGGGGGACACTATTAAATGCAAGAGATTGGGTGGGGAATGAAAATCAGTTTTGCTCATGGCTTGGGAAAGGAACAGCTCTCGTATATGACAGAAAGTAGTAGAGGCCTGTCTGTAAGATGAAGCTCCGCTCTATTTTCTCTGTTAAGGGAAAGAAAGATCTGCAGTGGTGAGGGGTAGGACAATCAACATGTACAAATGCACAGCTCAGCCCAGTGCTGCTTAGCGAGAAGAAACAATGGGTTTTGTTTTGCTACTAGTATGTAACTTCTTAAAAACAGAGGTCATCTCATTCTAAAGACAAACAGTACTATTTCTTCTTCCAACACAACTGAAGAGGAGATGTATCTCTTTGTACTGGTCCGGTGGGCCCATGTTGTTACCGGGGGGGGGGAGGAACTCTGCATATGGTCCATATAGAGTGCTGTATTTTGTGGCCAGTGTAGGAACTGTCCTGATCCCTGGAAATGAAGGGAGTGTCCTTCATTTCTTGCCTCAAACAAGCCTGGGTCTCAGAATTTGAAGCTTGAAAATATACGATTTCTAATAAACAACTAATAAACAAAGCATAGCTTGTTGTGGTGACACAGCTCAGTTAAGCACAGCCAAAGCAGGTGGTATCCTATAGAATTACTCTAGTGGTTCTGCTGTGCAACTGTTGTCTCATGGTTCAGGAAAAGAAGCTGCTAGTGGTGGGCAGTGTGTGGCCTTCCAGATGTTGCTGGACTTCTATTCCAATCATTCCTAGTCATGAGTCATAATGGTGGGGCTGCTAGGAATTGTAGTCCAACAACATCTGGAAAACAATGCATTCCCCACTCTTTTCCTAGCTGCAAACTCTGAGCAGGAGACATACGTTCATACTGCTTCCAGACATGTACTTGCTTGCTTTTAAAACTGGCCCAGAAACACACACCCTTTGAATGTGCTTGGGTCTGTTTCATCTACAGAACACACAGAATAGCCATCATTGCACTTAGTTCAACACCTCTCAAGTCTGGTTTGCAATTAAAATGGCTGAATCTGTAAGATACCTTTGCTGGAAGCCAAGGGCAGCAAAGAGACAAGGAGAAGTGTCAAAATGTGTGACAGCTTATTAGGCTGTGCAGATACTGCAAGATGTCAACAAATGAGGGGAAGAGTTGAGAACATTGTATGATAAATATACTTTTTAATTGGGCTTGTTACCACTGAGAACTTGACTGGTATAAATGCATTTGCTTCTATTCAACAACATTGTGTATCAGGGATGCAATGCAGACAGAGAGTAATTTTGCACTGTTTCTTGATGCATTCTAATTTTCCGTCTGTGTCGAAATCAGGCTCATCGAAAGATCTGCAGTGGTGAGGGGTAGGACAATCAACATGTACAAATGCACAGCTCAGCCCAGTGCTGCTTAGCGAGAAGAAACAATGGGTTTTGTTTTGCTACTAGTATGTAACTTCTTAAAAACAGAGGTCATCTCATTCTAAAGACAAACAGTACTATTTCTTCTTCCAACACAACTGAAGAGGAGATGTATCTCTTTGTACTGGTCCGGTGGGCCCATGTTGTTACCGGGGGGGGGGGGGAACTCTGCATATGGTCCATATAGAGTGCTGTATTTTGTGGCCAGTGTAGGAACTGTCCTGATCCCTGGAAATGAAGGGAGTGTCCTTCATTTCTTGCCTCAAACAAGCCTGGGTCTCAGAATTTGAAGCTTGAAAATATACGATTTCTAATAAACAACTAATAAACAAAGCATAGCTTGTTGTGGTGACACAGCTCAGTTAAGCACAGCCAAAGCAGGTGGTATCCTATAGAATTACTCTAGTGGTTCTGCTGTGCAACTGTTGTCTCATGGTTCAGGAAAAGAAGCTGCTAGTGGTGGGCAGTGTGTGGCCTTCCAGATGTTGCTGGACTTCTATTCCAATCATTCCTAGTCATGAGTCATAATGGTGGGGCTGCTAGGAATTGTAGTCCAACAACATCTGGAAAACAATGCATTCCCCACTCTTTTCCTAGCTGCAAACTCTGAGCAGGAGACATACGTTCATACTGCTTCCAGACATGTACTTGCTTGCTTTTAAAACTGGCCCAGAAACACACACCCTTTGAATGTGCTTGGGTCTGTTTCATCTACAGAACACACAGAATAGCCATCATTGCACTTAGTTCAACACCTCTCAAGTCTGGTTTGCAATTAAAATGGCTGAATCTGTAAGATACCTTTGCTGGAAGCCGAGGGCAGCAAAGAGACAAGGAGAAGTGTCAAAATGTGTGACAGCTTATTAGGCTGTGCAGATACTGCAAGATGTCAACAAATGAGGGGAAGAGTTGAGAACATTGTATGATAAATATACTTTTTAATTGGGCTTGTTACCACTGAGAACTTGACTGGTATAAATGCATTTGCTTCTATTCAACAACATTGTGTATCAGGGATGCAATGCAGACAGAGAGTAATTTTGCACTGTTTCTTGATGCATTCTAGTTTTCCGTCTGTGTCGAAATCAGGCTCATGATCTCTCTTTCATATTCTTCAGCTCTAAGCTATCCTTTCTATTTCCACATATGCTTCTACAACACAGAAATATAGCCATATTAGTCATAGCAGAGAAGTTAAGCATTAACAAAACATTATAGAAGATTTAGCCCACCTTGTGAAGATTTTTTGCCCCCAGCAATTGTTTGTGGGGAGAAATAGTGTGGACCTCTTATTCATGAGCATGAGATGGTTAATATGATCTATTGGCTTAATTAGATTGGTCTGAAACATGTGTACAAGCTTTTGCGAACTCAGAGGGTCACAAATGTGGGTTGGATTCCATGTCACAAATAACACTTCAGCTGGTTGAGTGTAAAATATATGAATAATCATAGTGTTTAGCTATGTGTTTAGCCAGTGAAATATTTTAGTCTGTTGGATCAAAAATCACAAAGACCAGTAGGCTGTTTGATTTACTCCATGTGTAATGACAAACACAGAAGCAGCTATGGGAAGTAAGTAGGCAGGAGACCAAACCTGATTATACCATTGCAGTTGCTTCCTGTTTGCATGTGGCAATTCAAACAAGATACCGGCCAAGAAGTCTTGTGGCAACTGAAAGACTAGTAAATTCTACTTGGCATGTCATTATGTGGAAGGATGACTGATCCATCACGATGAATCTGATGAAGCAGGAAATGATGCACAAAACCTTCTGTCAGGCAAAACGTGTTACTTTTTAAGATGCCTCAAAAATCACTGTGGCCTTTTTATAGGCATAGTGGGCCAAGGCAAGAAACAAGCTAGACACTGAGTATATCAGGGAATCCCAATAGTTTTTATCCCAACATAAGGCAACAAGGGAAGATTAGGTAGATAGAATTTAAATATAGTCCAGAGCCATAAGCCAGCTAAGATTCTAACAAATCTAACATGTGAATCATAATACAGATGTCTATGAAATATGCTCAGTGTTATACTTAAAGATTGAAGCAGGAAGAACTTATATTTACCGTTCAACACCTGTTGTCGTTGTAAGAAGTACCCTGCGAAGGAAATACATAATCAGCTATGGTTTTGCTGTCTGTAACTTTTCAACATCGAGGATTTGTTTCCCTTCTCAGAAATCTCAGGTGATTGCTTGACTACCAATTCAACAACATGACCACAGCAGTCCAAACTGAAACTTTCCAAACTATTTGTCATACGCATACAGCATATTAAAAATGAAAGGGTTTTAAGACTTATTCACTCAGATGAAGAAAGATAGCTACAGTATGGCTGTTCCTTGTGTGAACAAATCCTATGTTCAGATGCTCTTTCTCCTCCACCCCTTTTTCCAGTATGGCCACAGAGATAAGAGGAGCTTCCACTTGGATTTTCAGTGAACAGATATTTAGCTTTTTGTACAAACTCTCAGGTGCTAACCTTTAAACCATGGATGGAAGTTGCATTGTTTCAGTGAACCATAGTTAAGACTAGTGGTGTAGTTCAGGAGGACATGGGTAAAGAAGAACTTCAGGAACTTTTTTTAAAAATAATTTTTTATACCAGAACACTGTGGTAAGTGGCAAATTTTTTGATCAGGCAAAGAGATAAGATGATGATAACGAGTCTTGCTAGTTTTAATCTTGCTTGTGACAGATGTGGGTATACAGGGAGTCAAACAAAAAGGAAAGTCAGGCACAATCTGGTATTAGTTTCCTTTTCTTTCACAAAGTCCCTATTCCATATTAGCCATTTAAAAGGTAACACTTCTTTGCAAAATAATTTGCATTTCTAAGTTAAGCTTGGTCAAGATCTTCTATGAAAATTCAGTGTACTTTTAAAATTGAACCCATGAATCCAGAAATATGCATCACTATGCACAGGACTGGAACCTCAGGTTGGCATTACGCTATATAATGCTGTGCCCTGGCATGCCTATGTATGTGCATGTATACACTCTTTTGCATGTCACACAGCATCACTATGCACAGGACTGGAACCTCAGTTTGGCATTGCGCTATATAATGCTGCGCCCTGGCATGCCTATGTATGTAAACATGTAAACACCCTGACTTTTGCATGTCACGCTCTATTCATTGATGATCAACATTTTGCATTTCATGCTGTATTCACTTCATTTATGCAACATTTTGCATTTCATGCTGTATTCACTGGCCTAAAGATTTATATGAAGAAAGCTGGCTTATATCTATTGTCTCCCATATGAAAGATATGATTGTAAGATCTGTACATCACCTAACTGAGAAGACATAGTACAAAGACAGTGCCTCTACCTGGTTGTTGTACGTGCTCTGTGAAGAGTATCCTTGGCTCTATGAACAAAGAAGAGATCAGTCACATGTAGAATTTGCTTTTTTCCTTCAAAATTAGTTCTCTTTTCCAAGTTTTGCCAAAGTTTGTAGATAGTCTGTTCTGCAAATCTAATGCACTAGGCCAAGTCCACATAGGCTCAAATTTATGGAATTGCTTTTATTTGTTTTTAATTGTTGTGAAGACAATTGCTGCTAATTGTTTTTTAATCCTGCTTTTCGGGATTTTCATAAAACGATAAATAAAAAGCTGACATTTGTTCCAAAGGAAATTGTTATGCTATGATCAGTTTCTGTGTTGTGTGAAGTATGACTTTAATTCTCATTCACCAAGAAAGGATATTTGTCCCTCCACAGTCATTCAGAAGTAGACACAGAGATTGGGCATTCTGAGCTGCTGTGCTCCCAAGTTTCAACTGCTTGCGATGTAAAGACAGGAACAAATATTGTTCCAACAAATCTATCATTTTTTGTTATCGGGATACTTTTGCCCTAGCAAACAGAATGTATCGGGGCAGAGGGGGAAGCCCCAAACCAATTTTTAGGAAACAGGATGCCAAGAAGCAGGCATGACATGCCCTGGTTGCCTCATGGGATTAGAATATTTACTGGATTCAGGAAATCCAAAATGTGTATCCTTTCCTACAATGCTACCCACAACCAAAACCCTAGAGCTACTGCCCATCATCAGTACATAGGAATTCCCATAGACCGTAATCGACTCAATACAAGTTTTTAAAAAATCCTGGTGGATGAAAACTAGAGAAGGAGTCGGTAACCTGATACCTCCAGAGACCGGTTCCAGGACTGCCAAATTGTAGGAAAAGGAATTGTGAAAAAAGGGGTGATGGATCTTAGGAGAAAAGGATCTAATTCATGTAAAAAGTGTCATTATCATGTAGCAAATAATGATAAACCAAGAGAAAGGGAACCTACCGGTTTACAGGGGTTGCTGTTGCCTTGAGACTGTGAATTAGCCTAAGAAAAATAATAGAGTAGGGAGGAAATGCTTTAAAGTGGCTCTTGAAAAATTGGCTAAACTGCAGCAAAATGTAAGGCTTTTTTTTTTTTTTGGAACAGTTAAGAGGTGAACATTTTCAGAGAGATAACCATGTCAGTCTGTTTCAACATGGATGACAACAATGAGAATAGAACAATACCAAAGGTACCATGGTACCTTTGAAGCTAGCAGATTTATTGCAGCGTGAGGTTTTATGGATTACACCACATTTCCTCAGGCACATGGAACACAATATACAGTATACTGGAAGACATTCTGGCATTTTATTCTGAAATAGAGGTATGAAAATTTTGTTTGCCATCTACATCCATGAGTGGGAGTATTTGAGGGACTAAGTTTCAATATGGGAAATCTGCAGAGATGTCATATTACAGTAGTGGGACTGTCTAAGTGTATGGAGTGGGTCTGCACATAAAGCTTACTAATTCTATACATCCTTGTTCCAAGATAAGACCCAGTGTAACCATTTTCAGACCCTCTAAGAGCAGCTCAAATCAATTTGTGTCCATTCAGAAGTGCTGTATGTCCCCAGAGGAAAACATTTTAGATCCATAAACTGGAACTCCTATTCAATGCAAAACTGTCCTGGTCTGCAAAACAGAACTCAAATTCATGCAAAACTTTCCTAGTCTGCAAACCAGACCTTCTTTCCATCTACTCATCACTAAATAGCTTCTTATCTCCAATCACTGATTGAGTATAAGGGGAGAACCTGAGGACTAGATTGGGAATCCCCAAGGTTCACATCCAGCCCAGGGACTAGTGATTCCTCAGTCTCTCATCTTTGACCTAATGGCCAAGGAAAGAACCCCAGCCTGACCTTGTAAGAATATGCCTGGCCTGGGGAAGAAAGAAGAAATCAGTCACCATTTATTTATTTATTTATTTATTTATTTATTTATTTATTTATTTATTTATTTATTTATTTATTTATTTATTTATTTATTTATTTATTTATTTATTTATTTTATTTTATTTTATTTTATTTTATTTTATTTTATTTTATTTTATTTTATTTTATTTTATTTATATCCCGCCTATCTGGTCGGTTAAGACCATGTAAAAGTATTACTGCTTCCCAAATGAATTCACTTTCTTTTCTTTTGCCAAAGTTTACCTAATAGGTTCACAAAGGATTTCAGAGATCGATGTGGCCATATTTTGTTCATTTCTAGAGGAATACCTCAACAGTTTCATTACCTCTAAAGGAATATATCAACAGTACTCACTATGGCTGAAATCATGTTGTTTAACATAAAAAGTTTGTAAAATTCAGTCTGTTCCTAGCCAAATAAAGAGTGTCTGGCACAATTCTTGTGAGGGCATGGATACACCAACCAAGTGAGTGCGCATAGCTCCACGAACCACAGTGAGGACTCAAATTGTCACCTGAGAACGGAGTGGAAGTTGCAAATTTTCTTTCTTTCTTTTAGCCGCACCATTGCCAGTGGCTTCTTACACCAAGGAACAGGATTTTAGCCTATATGAAGATGGACGGTTCCTTCCACATGAAAGGTAAGACTGTAAGATCTAGACAACGTTTAACAGGAAATATATAATAAAAAAAGAACCCCTACCTGGTTGTAAGAGCTTTGTGAAGAATAAGAAGAGGAGGAGGAGGAAGAAGAAGATTGCCCCTGTGATGAAACAAGAAACAATAACTGTACAATACGGCCACTATCTTTTGTGAGTGGAAACTGTTTGACCATTTATGCCCAACTTTACTAAACAATAATTATATGTATCTATTTTATATTGATTTCGTTTTACTGGTCTTTGACCATAATAAAGTACACTACTTTATATGAAACTAGGGTTGTACAGGCTATCTCCCACATGAAAGATCACATGCAGTTCTATTAACACCCTTTCCCTTCTCTTCTGTTTGCATATTCTACTTCATGGCCTTCCCTCGCTCCCCTGAAGGCAATTTGGACATTCCCAAAACCAAAATGGGCTTAACAATATTCATCTAGGTCAATGGTCTCTATCCTGGGTACTCAGGTATTCTTGGGCTAAAATTCTGAGAAGCCTTCACCACTAGCTGTGCTGCCCAGGATTTCTGGGAGTCCAAGAACATCTGGGGACTCAAGGTTGGGAACCATGGAACTAAGAACATAATGGTTGAAATCCTGTTATGGATTGGAGGTGAATTGACTGAAGTGAAGAAATCTCTGTAGACATTACCTGGTGTACACCAAGTCACATGGCTCAGTATGCAACAGGTGATGTTTATGGAGAGGTCTTAATTTCAGGTGATTCACCTCCAAAAGTTATACTTCTTGTGTAGGAACACCATAAGCCAGTATTGGAATTGTTCCTCCTTTGAACAGCATTACTGTACAAATGATCATACTATACACATGAACTAACTCAGGGAAGGGCTGTGTCCTGGGACTTGGGGGCCACACTGCTTTTCCTAGGCCTGTTAGCTGCTGCAGCAGTCCATGAGGGGGTCCTCATGGGTAGCTATAGAAGCCGTAGCAAATGGGTGCAGTAGCAGCCATAAAATTGGACAGGGAGAGCTGTGTTTTGCCCACCTACAATCTAACTGAACAAGGTAGCAACAAAGTCATGTATCAGATGGGATGGCACCATTTTATGAGTGGGGTGGTGGGCTGTGATATTGTTGATCTTATGAAGAGTAAGGAGAAAAGATGCCAAATTTATCTACGCTTTCTTGATAGCATCCTCACTTTGCCTTTTCTCCTGTCCAGGAGTTCAAGATTCCTAGAGGCAAGAACCACTAAGAGAAAAGCAGCTAGGCAAGGTAGTCTGGGGTATTTCACTTCATTTTATCATTTAACTCTTCCTCTCACCCCATATCTAGAAATCTCAGAGTAGAGTACAGATAATAACACATCCTGAACTATTATTAAATAAATTTAGAACCGTCAACAGGATAAAACAATTAGGTAGAAATCCACCATTAAGCCATGGCCACTGAGTCTTGGTCAGTTACATCAACTAATGAGACCCCAAACACAAAACATTCTCTGGAATAACTTTTTCTATTACATTAAAGAACTAGCTTACCTGATGGCAGGGATTGCTGTCATAGGTCCTCCCCTATTTAATGAATGAACGAATGAAATCAGTTTATTGCTTTGGCACACACAGGCCATGGCAAATTTCATAATGAAATCAACATTGCACAATGCAATATATATATAAAAAAAGAATCCGTAACTTATTTAAAACAAAGGGTTACTCTTGTTATTGTTGCTAGGGGAGACTGGTGTTTGCCCCCAACAGTTCATTGCTTATCTCTTTGCAGTCCTATATAATGGATGTGGGGCTTGTCTGAGGATCAAACTTAACTCTACAATTGGCTTACTGTACTGTTTGAAGCAGCAATCCTTCTAGTTAAGGATTTCTCTTTTCCATTTACAAGCTACCTCTTTCTGCTTCCAGCCTTTGATTTCAAAAGCCACAAGACCACAATCTGTGCTAGATTGTCAGTGGAGTTGTGCCTCCTGTTCTGCTTTCTTCATTTCAGCAATATAATTTAGGAATCATGGCTGGAAGCATTATTACTCCTGTTGTTTTTAAATAGTTTGGAATTGAAAACTCTCTAATGATCTACTGCAAATGAATAAGAGATCTAATAGTACATCTATATCAACTTTCTGTCTGTCCCTATATTGTAAATAACATCCTTGGTGGACAATTCTTATTTTCACGCCACAGGAAAGCATATATAAAATATATACACATATTAAATAATGGTTCCAAAGCTAAACAATTGTTTTAAAAAGACTAGGTTTGACAGCAATGCTATAATTGTGATACCTATCAAGTCTTGGAAGGGATTACTATCAGATGTAGCAAGGAATCTTAGTTTCTCTCTGTAACCTGTATTTCTAACATGCTTGCTGATTTTTTCTAATCTGTCTGCTCTGACAGTAGTGAGAAACACAGAGAAACATTTCAAAATAAACTGTCAAATAAAAGAACATACCTGCCCACATGGACCGCTACTGCTTGAATAAGATCCACTCTGTTTTAAAACAAGAAACAAAAATATACCATTAGCCCCTCAAAGTGACATATATCCTATATTTGTTCTAAAGTTTTCTCGCTAGTTAACGTATAACAATTTCACAATCTCTGAATATAAAAAATTCATCTGAAAATAATTAAACAATGAAATAATTCACAATTTTTTAAAAACACAGACCACAGAGTCAGTAACATGAAAAGCAAACAAGATTATCCTTTTTAAGGCAGGGATCTGCCAAGAAATCAAAATATGTCTCTCTAGTTGCTAAAACCAAAGGAGGTATAACTCCTTTCTTTTTACTGTATTTTGGATGTAAAACAAACCATCCATAAAGGAAAAACCAGGAAAAGGCCACACGGTTGTGGAAACAATAGAAATGCAGGAACGGGTGATCCATAAAGGGGTGCTAAGCAGGCCGTCTCTAAAGTCACCCAAGCTGGGATTTTCACAGAAACAGAGACTTGTGAAGCATTTGTATCAACAAAAATATATGCCTGGTGGTACAAACTGGTATCCAGGACATTAAAACCCTCTTCTGATATAGGCAATTGCAGTGAGGTGGAGAGTTATAAACTTCTGAAATATTCCATTGATCTTTTAAAAATATGCTTGGGAAACATAGAATGAAATACCATGCACCATATATATTATTTGTAGGAATACATTCATGGTATATATTGTCTCTTCAGTTACAATTTGATCCATACGCTCATACTAAAACAACTTTGTGGGGATATCCAGGTCTGAGGCTAGAGAGGAAGCCTTTCTTATGGAAGAAGTGGGTGGAATGTGGCATATATATTCATTTGATAGACTTGGACTATGAATTTCTAATGTTCTCCACTTTACACGCTAAGTATAACCTCCCTATGAGTGCAGAATGGCAGTACTGTATCTCTAGTTTCAGCATTTGCTGGTGTCTGTCTTTGGCCCAGCTGTACTGAATGCTTCAGAATCTCCTAAATTGTTGGAAGGAATTATTGGATCTGCTCAAAAACCTAAGCCCATTTATGCATTAGAAATTTTTAATGGATCTTTATAAGATTGACATCCAAGAGCTTAGGGAGATATGGAATGAAGAATTAGAGGTCAGCATACAGTCTAAACAATGGAGGATTTTATTAGAGTCTATACAGAATGTTTCCTTAGTTTTCAAAATGAGGTTGAGCCAACAAAAAAAAATAGTATTTTAGAGCACTGGTTCTTAACCCAATGGAGGATTTTATTAGAGTCTATACAGGATGTTTCCTTAGTTTTGAAAATGAGGTTGAGCCAACAAAAAAAAAAAATAGTATTTTAGAGTACAGTTGTTTAGGAAAGGGTGCAACTCCCAGAAGCCTTCATCACCAACTGTGCTGGCTGGGGTTTCTGGGAGTTGCAGTTCAAAAACATCCGAGTAACAAAGGTTAAGAACCACTGTTTTAGAGTATATTGGACACCACAACAGTTGTTTAGGAAAGGGATATCAAACTCTGACAAATGTTGGAGATGTAGTATTTTAAATGCATCCTTGAGACATGTGATCTGGGCCTGTCCAGCAATTCATTCATTTTGGTTTAAAGTTGCCATGGGTATCAATGTAATATTGGAGAAATCTTTGATATTTGCACATATTCATGTTCTCTTAAGTTACATTTTTCCCTTCGACAACACTGGGCATTAGGATGATATTTGCACATATTCATGTTCTCTTAAATTACATTTTCCCCCTGTGTAGTTCAAAATCCATATACAACTCTTACGCTCCCTCCAAACCTAACTACAAATCCTAAACATCCGATTCACACATATACACATTAAGGAGACAACACAACACTGGGCATTAGGAGCACCAGACCCCTGTGTAGTTAAAAATCCATATATAACTCTTACGCCCCCTCCAAATCTGACTACAAATCCTAAACATCCAATTCACACATATACACATTAAGGCAGCTAAAGGACGGAAAAAGCCTCTATCAGCGGGGGGAAACAGAAGCGCAATCTCTCACAATGAAGTAGCATGCCACTATGACACCACCCCTACTCTCACCAGACCCCTGTGTAGTTAAAAATCCATATATAACTCTTACGCCCCCTCCAAATCTGACTACAAATCCTAAACATCCAATTCACACATATACACATTAAGGCAGCTAAAGGACGGAAAAAGCCTCTATCAGCGGGGGGAAACAGAAGCGCAATCTCTCACAATGAAGTAGCATGCCACTATGACACCACCCCTACTCTCGACCTGTAGCAATTTTGTGGCACTCCCCAGCTCCTTCCGTGGCTGCCACATGGAGGTGCCGTGCCAGGGGAGGGAGCTGGCCAGGCCATCACCATCACACTGGGAGACAGACACACTGCTAACAACAGGCGCTTTGGTAAGTCTGAGACCTACCTATCTCAGGCTACTTCCTGGACATGAACCGCAGCACAGTATTTATTGAATATTTATTTCTTTAGTGAAATATTCATGTGTTTATTTATTGGGGAGGGGTGAAATATTCATGTGTTTATTTATTGGGGGGGGGAATCTATGTATAACCAAAACTGTGCTGCTCAACCCCATGCAATTCAAGGCAGAAGTGTACATCCCTCTCTTATAGGGTCTAACAAATGGCAACAAAACTGGAGTTTATGAGTCCTTATGGTGGTGAAGAGACTTATAATCCAAGCTTGGAAGAATAAATATCCACCATCTGCTACACAATGCCTGGAGGATGTATTAGCACTGGCTATGTTTGGATAAGTAATGTACAGACAACAATTTCATGAGGACATTTACTTGGGCATCTAGAAGGCCTACACTGATTTATATGCTTAAATAGCTTATCGTGAGTATTAACATGATTGTATATGCTGTTCTCTTTTTTTTCCACTCCCCCCCTTTTCTTCATTAGTTCAATTTATTTATTTATTTATTTTCATTAAATCTGAAAAAATTAAAGGGGAAAAAAAGGAATCCATGTATTATTTCCTCACTTACCTGCGTGCCAGAGAAGGTGCCACTCTGTGAGCCTGAAGACTGACCCTGTGAAGAGAAACAGGCACATATGGTTCAGCCCTTCAACATGGAGAGGCATCACATTTGGGTTCTTTTTTTGCCTAGGAGTAACAAGGACTGGTGACCCATGATCTGAGCAATAGAGTGCTTATGCCCTCACTTGGGGCTGAGGTGCTCCTTGCTCAGACTATGGACCACCTTAATGACGGGAAAGGGTGGCTCTCCTTTCCCCCTTCCCTAATCTTCCTAACAAAAATGATCAAAACAATAGCATGCTTAGGTTTTCACCATGTGTGCAAACATGTGACCGACCACAGCCGCACCATGGGATTAACTGACTTTTCATCTTTTCATGGAATGGTTGGAATTGTAGTTTTACAGCAGGTGAGGAGCTTGGAACCCATTCGGGCAGCATTTTAGCGCCTTCACCCAATTCCTAATATTTTCTGAAAGAAGCCACAATGATTAGGGCAGTTGCTCAAAGCCTCTGGAAGACACCAGGTTGGGCAAGGCTGCACCGCCCCCTAAATGTGCCTTGCTTACCTGCGTGCCAGAGAAGGTGCCACTCTGTGAGCCTGAAGGCTGGCCCTGCAAAGAGAAACAGGCGTCATTGATGAAAGATGGGGTGTAGGAATCCAGAGTGGCAGCACATCGACCTTGAGAAGACTCCCCATCCTGATCCTGCTTGTATACATCCCCTGGGCAGCAGTTCCTGCTACAAAGGGGGAGACTTACTTTGAGTAGCAGATGAAGGTGCTTCCCCCATTCTAAACTGTAGGTGCTGACCATGCCCCTTGCCTACCATAACTCAGTCTGATAGAATGGTTAAGTACATATAGCTGTGTGCCAAAGACACAGACACTCTACAAGTCTGACAGTTAATCCTGCTGCAAATAAAAACGGATCTCCTTCTCATAGCTGTTATGAGAAGAACCTTCCCCTTCAGTTGATATAGTCACTAGACTACTCTCTTTGGTAAAGCCTCTGCTGAGCAGGCTTCATAGGATGAATGATTTGCTTTGATTTCCAGGCCCAAGCATAGGAACACAAGCAGAATTATATTCCTAAAAACAGGGATGCTATTAAGTGAAGACTGCCCATTTTCACATCTTAGATAACAAAATAATATGTGCCACCAAGTCAATTCCAACTAATGGTGAACCATTTGAGGGCTTCCTATGTAGGGAACACTCAGAAGTTGTTCACCATTGAGGTGTCCTGGGACTACGACCCTTGCACAAAGCTACACAGACTGATGTTTCTCCTGAGAGACAAAGTGCGGAATCGAACTCCCAGTCTCTGGCAGATATCTAAATCATTGAGCTACCTAAGTAAGTCCAAGTGCTTCCTGTCTTGAAACTGGAAGGATTAAGGATTAAGGAACAACTGAGGTCTATGGTGGGCTAAGGAGCTCAAATATTCACTAGTGTTCTGCAGGATATACTCAAAATTGTTAAGTTTTTATGTTGTATGATTGTTGGTTGTATTTTCCCTTTCCTTTAATGAGCTCAAGGTGACACACATGGCTTTTCTGCTCTTCCTCAGTCCTCACAGCAACCCTGTGAGACAGGTCAGGCTGAGAGAGACTAGCTAATTCAAGGTTGCTCCTTGGGATTCTTGGCTCAGTGGGGCTTGAACCTGGGTCTTCTGTGTCCCAGCCCAACATTCCAACCACAATAGCATGCTATCTCTCACACTTGTTTATGAGAGGTCTGCGTTGCAACATAGGTACATTCCTGCCAAATTCTTCCTTCTCTTTTCTTTTCAAGATTTTGGTTGGTAGATAAGGAAAAGTATTTTAGCTCCCTCCCACCCACTCTCAGTCCAACCAGTGGGTGAGTCTTCTCTTCCAAAACACTGAAGTTAACTGATTCGACCAGACTAAGCATACAGTATTTTAGCTCCCTCCCACCCACTCTCAATCCAACCAGTCTTCTGTTCCGAAACACTGAAGTTAACTGATTTGACCACACTAAGCATATCCTAAAAGCATCCTTCTTCACATTTTGGAATTGTTGTGTAATTGAATGATAAATACCTGGACGGTAATACGGATGGTTTCTGATGAACCACCTTGAGACTTTGAACCCTGAATAGACAGATGATGAGGATAAGAGTTAAGTTGTTTTCCCCCCAAAATACAATTAATCATCCAAATACCAATCCAATACTAAAGAAATAATTTAAAATCTAGAAAGCAAAGTGATCAGAACTAAGTCTATAGAATAGCCTGATTCTAGGGCTTTGCAGTTAAATGTACAAGGAGTTCCTGTTATAGGCATTAGGGAAAATGTGCGGACATCTGCTTTAGACATGTATATGCACAAAATGCATATAAAACATAAGCATTTAGAAAATGTCCCCAGATCTTTCCCAATATGGAACCATGACTGAACAAGCATGTCTGTGGGATTCTGAAAAATGTAACAAAAGTGAGATGGGCACATTTTTACATTGCTAGCACATTCTTTGATATTCATTACTGAATGTGAAAATGCATATTGGTTGTTTTTATGCGCCCTCAAGTCATTACAGACCAATAGTGATCCTAATAGTGCTTTCAAGGTAAAAAGCAAATCAAAGCAAAAAAGCAAAGCATGCTGTTTATATACTGCCCCACTCAAGCACTCTCTGGGTGGTTTACAAGTTAATTATGCAGGCTACACATTGCCTCCCCAGCAAGCTGGGTACTCATTTTGCTGACCTCGGAAGGATAGAAGGCTGAGTCAACCTTGAGCCGGTTTTGGCTGCAGTACAGCGGTTTAACCACTGTGCCACATGAGGCAGCCTGATTTTGGCGGGAAAACGCTGAGGCAAAACTGCGTAGCAACAGCGAGCTAGCTTGCCAGCTGAGAGGCCCAGCAGCCAAACAGAGAAGGAGGCAGTGTTATCAGAGGCAACAACCCTATGATGTATTTGGCTTGTTTGGGCATTGAAAGGGACAACGGGAAACACTTTCCCCTTTTATTTTCATTTTCTCTACCACTTTATTTTATTAAAAAATATTTCCCTATAGATGCAACACTATTCTAGACATAAAAGATACACTGATGGCATTATATGTACCACATAATAATAATTCATTGCTATTCTACTATGTGACTTATTTTATATTTAATAAAATATATGCTTTATTAAATAAAAAAGGAAAGTCACCATGGCCTTCTGGATGATATGGTAGTCACAGGAAAAGGCGGGGAAGTGGGCTATGCCCCCAAATTCATTGACAGATGACAGCATCTCTCCCTCCTTCCCCATTATTTTTAGCTTAGTTACTGGGGAGTGGGGGGAGAGAGATGTGTGGAAAGTAGATGAACCAGCTGGATTGGAGACTGGCTTTCCTTGACTGCACATTCATATGCACATGCACACACCCTTCTGGAGGATAAAGCACCCATCTTTGGATTGCTGCTCAGGCTTTTAGAGTCCACTGTGGAGCAACTGTTGCTCCCTCCCTGTCATCTCACAGAAGGAAAGAGAGAGGGACTGACCACCCGACTCCATGGGCTCTGGCCCCACAAGGCTGTGTTGCCCCGTCAGAGCCCCAACTGAAGAGAAACCCATCTCCCCAACCTTCACCTGAACGTTTTCCCCTCATGCCAATACTGCCACTGTGAGCTTGCCATATGGCCACTTTCACCTCCTTACTCATGAGTAAACCAGGTAAACCTTACATGCAGGCAAACTGGGTAAGCCTTGGCAATCCAAGATCTGTCTGGATCCTTTTCATAAAGATCTCCATTGCGAATAGAAGGATAGCTCAAGTACAATATAAGATGGCTCATACTGAACCTTTCAAGCATGAACCAGACAACTCCTAATTACCCTTTTTGGACAGGCAACTAGTTTATTATTCAGGTCTCCTCCTGAGTCCTAGTCTATTCGTCTATCCACTACATTAGACTGGGTACCCAAATACTTATACACATACCTGTGTGCCAAAGGAGGTGGTACTTTGTGAGCTTGAAGACTGGCCCAACTGCAGAACAAAGATAGACATCAGTTGTGCTTTTGCCTCTCTCTCTCTCTCTCTCTCTCTCTCTCTCTCTCGGTATGTGTTTTAAGGAACAGCATTTTTCTTCCAGGAAGCAATCAGCATTTGCTACACACCACATCACGCTATGGACAAATTCAGTACAGTTTTTCTTGATAAAAAAAGAGAACCCAGAACTGAAAGATTTCCCTTAGAGATTGTATGTGTGGTGTGTTTTTTTTTTTTAAAGAATAGCGTGGAAAAGCAAAATAAACAACAATAAAAGTACAGTACTAATAATACATTTACAAGCTATAAAAATAAATACTGCATGCAGAAATAAATTCCCTGGAGTTCCTCTTCTCAGCTCTAAGCCCCTTTTCACATCCTCTTGCTCCAAGGATTTAGAAACAGTATTTGATAATATATTTGCCTTTTTGCAGGCTTCCCTCATATGCCATTGCCTCAGATATCTTGCTTTCTGCCCCACTCATCATGAACATCACAGTTTGCAGGAGCCACTATAAAGCCAGTCTTAATTTACCATCCACTCAATGTATAGCTACTTAAGGGCTAATTAAAAACCAATTATCAATTATTATTAAGAGCAACACCTGTGGGGTTTTTTTTCCTAATCACTTAGAATAATGAGATGGACATGCCTACCTTGTTACAAGCCTGGATGTTATAGTATGATGAACCCTGTAAAAGAGAATAAACAGCAATTCATTTTGTCCTAACACAAAAGGTCATAATATTTATAGAATTGAAAGGACAGAAAGGATTTCAGGGTTATCATGATAGCTGAAGGTGGTATACCCTAGTGGAAGATAATATTTTAATTTTTATTAACTGAAAAATAGGTTTAATTTTTAAAAGGGGGTGTTACCTGAAAAAAACACCCTTGTGTCTTCTTGTGGCTATTTTCTTGTAAGTGAAGACAGCTTCGGGGTATTGAGGGGGTCTATGAATGCTTGGGCCCCCTTAAAATATGGCAAAATCACACCTCATAGCCCTAGAGGGCACAAGGAAATTTTATAAGCAGCAAAACCAAAATTGGTGAGGGATGCTGCAAAAAAACTAACAAACCCTGGGCCATCATAGGGCCTCCAGGTCACAGGTCACCAAACCCATCTTGTGCTAGCAAATTCCACAGTTCAAATATGTGCTATGCAAAAGCATACTTTCTTTGGCTTTTTCTAGATTTTCCACTGTCCAGCATCCATTGGATGATCCTCAGTGATCAGGCTTTATCAAAACTCTCCCAGGATAGTTTGCATGACAAAGGAAAAACAATAATAGAACAAATGTAGCAGAAGATGACTTACAATGAAAAAGATATCACTTACCTTATCACAAACGGGGCTTCCTTGTCCACCCTGTGAAGAAAATGAAGAAAGCAGGCAATTTATCATTAGTTTCATTAATGGAAGCTGGTTGGATATCTCAGGGGTTAGGTATCTGGCTGTGGAGCCAAAGGTTGGGAGTTCAATTCTCCACAGTGCTTTCTGGGAGAAGAGTCAGCCTGTGTAGCCCTGGGCAAGCTGGACAGTCCCAGGATGTCCCTAGAAGAAGGGAATGGTAAATCTGAGCATTCTCTACCTAGAAAACCCTGGAAAGGATTGCTGTAAGTCACAATTAGCTTGACAGCACATACACACACTATCAATGGATCTGTTCCAATGGAGCATTTCCTCTAGAATTAACATCCCATTTCCCTTCCTTTCAATCTATGGATTAGTCGATATAGGAAGGAACCTCCACTCCTCTTCCTACCTAGCCACCCATCTCAATATATATTCTCCCCCAATGCACTGAGGAAACTTCTGTTCTGTGACACTGAAATGTGAAAAAATGTTCAAACCCTGGGACTGCTTACTATACTGCAAATACCTGAATAACTCTAGGTTTTTTGTTTTTGTTTTATATTTCACATTTGTTTTGTAACTGAGTGGTATTTACCTGGACAGTAATACGGATGGTCTCCGATGAACCACTTTTTGAAGGTTTTGAATCCTGTACAGGAAAAATGGAGTGAGGAAGGGGAGTGAATATCTCTAGATTTGTACACGGAGCACCTTACAAGAAGCAAAGCCATCCAGATAACATCAAGATGCTAAAACTTCAGCAAATATTCTAAAATCTTCCAGTACAAATCACGCAGTGGTATAAAATGGCTATAGGGGAGGCCTTTGAAATTCTTCATGGCATCAGTTTTTTATACAGAGTTTCTGTTTTCATCTGCCATAGAAGAGAGACCCTAAGTTTAAAAGAACGGACATGTGATATTCCATGTGACATCAGTGCTAATGCAGACACTCAGCATTGATCATCCTTGTTACTATGGGAAGTGGAATTTCTAGTTCATGTTTAAAAAAAGAATGGCATATAAAAGACTGACAACTTTATTATGGCATAAATTTTCGTCATTGGTCAAAGTATTGTACTAAATTAGTGCATGGTATATTTGCATGGTTGGGAAAGAATTTTAAGCAATCTGGTTGGAGGAAAATAAAATGAAAAAAGTAAAGACGGTGACAAGTATGTTAAGCATTAAGCACGTATAACACTTATTATTGTGGTCTTTCATGAAGCAGAGTACACACAAACACCCTGGTATTGATAATGGATAAAGAAAGATTTCTCACCTGGGAATAGGTTACTCCATTGTATTTAGCATTTGCATATTTCTGGAAGGGAAAGGGAAAAACTTATTTTATAATCCAGTTGGAAAATAAGGAAGTAATCTACATGAGCAAGAAATCTGGATCATCTATAGCAGTGCTTTTCACACTGTGCTCAAGAACAAAAATGCAAGGTTTCTCAGAAGCTCCTCAGAAGTTCTCAGAACACCAATAAAGATAGACTGCTTCCTTACCTCTGCCAATTGTTCTTCAAAATATGAAATCACAGGATGTGCCAGTGTCTGTAGAGTATACATGCATTCAAGTATACTCTACAGTAGAGATGTGCAAATTGCAGTACTCCATAATGCTGGGCAGTAACTCTCAACAGCCATAGTCAACATAGCCAATGGCAAAGAATGCTGAAAGTTGTATGCTAATTATGTCTGGAGGACCATACTTTAAAACCACAATGAAACTCAGCAGATTGTTTACCCACATTCAATTGAGCTAGAAGATGTCTCTAAAGCCTCTCTACTGCATATCTAGAGGCTTTGCAGCAATAGCTTTATCAGGGCCAACCTGATAGACATTAGGCAAAGTGAAGGGGCAACTACATTGGTCATTTGCCCAGCAATTTGTAACAGAGTAGGCACAGATAAATTCAATTTGAAACTCAGTATCTACACAACACAAAATGTATTCAGGGAAACCCATTGTGGAATTCTCTTTTCTGTGGGGAATTGTCTTTTTTTGTTTTCCCAGCTAGCAGGTGTGGTTTAGATTTGCTCCAACTGGGTTGGCATAACTTATCCTTGCTTTCTGCCCAGTGTGATCACCTGAGCTGAAGGCAAAGTGGGGCTGCTAGTGGTCATTGCCCTCAACTTGTGCCTTTTTGTCTGAGGATAGAATGTTTGATTGTTTGTCTGACTGTTTTAAAAGGCTTCCAAGGAAACCCTGGAACACCATATTGCTAGAAAACTTCAGAAAAGTTTTTTTAAACAAAAATCTTAAAGGTGGAAATTGCCAATTAGCATCTTCTCAAATTGTTTGATAACAGTAATTTCACCCACTGAAACCAAATTTTTTTAATGGGGACCACAGGAGATTCAAGCATATTGGATCCATGTTGTACAGCTTCACTGTGAGTCAGCTTCTTTTTAAGGAAGCAGATGTTGAGGAACAGGGAGAGATGCTGTGGCACTGGGAAAGAGTGGTGGATGCATCACATGGTCTGTGCTGTGCTCCCAAAGCTAGCCTGCTGCTCTGGGGTATAGTGGAGAAGGTTACCCCATTGTTAATATGGAACTGAAACTCGACAGCTAATCAGGCCAAATTCTTCATAAGCAACAGAAGCAACTGTCTTGTCTTTCTCCTGAGAACAGAAGTAGAAATAGTTCCTTGGAGCTTTTTGTTTAGTTGTTAAGTCATGTCCGACTCTTCATGACCCTATGGACCAGAGCGCTCCAGGCCCTCCTGTCTTCCACTGCCTCCCGGAATTGGGTCAAATTCATTTTGGTAGCTTCGATGACACTGTCCAACCATCTCATCCTCTGTCGTCCCCTTCTCCTCTTGCCTTCACACTTTCCCAAAATCAGGGTCTTTTCCAGGGAGTCGTCTCTTCTCATGAGATGGCCAAAGTACC